CTGCAGCCAAATGGTTTCAAACCCGGAATGCTGGACCACGTATTGCGATCGCCGTTACGGCAACTCTTCTCTATATTATAATGGTCACCGCCTATATCACCCTTCGGACTCTGAGAAAGGTTTTAAGACTATGCGCACATACTGGACGTCACTTAATCTCTTTCCCGTCAATACTACGATCTTGGACATGCAGAATTCAATACGTCGACACTCAGACGATGCCACCCCCCCCCTTTGGAACTCGGTAAAGTAGATACCAAATGGAAATCGACAACGCTGGTGAGACTTATCACTATCTTTGCAATTTCCAGTCCGTTTGTTACGTGCTGTCAACAGACACTACTCATACCAACATCAGTAATACAATGCGACCATTCCAAATCAAACTGCTCTAACCATACCACATTAATTGCTCAGCTTAACCCTATGCAACCTGAACTATGCATTCAACTCCAGCAAGGAGGCCACCAATTGCACTTCATGCGCATCTCCTTCAGGTCCTTTAAATCTTAGATGTCGCAAGGAACACTATACTATACTTCACAAGAAACACCATTACGAAAGTTCAATACCAAAAACGATGTCCTCACATGGGCACTTGCACAGGTCTAAAATGCGCTAAAATTACCTTTAATTCACTAGTCGACGAATTACTCGATGCTAATAATTATACGGGCATAACATACTGCTCTGAATCCTGTGGCGGTTTAGGCTGCTCTTGCGGCTATCCGTCATCAGGATGTCTTTTTTACAGAATCTACCATGTTCCCGTAGACGACAACATTTACGAAGTCTTCCAATGCCCATCATGGTTGCGAACAATATCGTTTCATGTTGAACTTCACGGACCCAAGCATAGAGCGCACACCTTTGAATTAAAACCCTATACTACTAAACAAATCGCTAACGTCTCATTTGAAATTACTTCATTCACATTTACACCAATCTCACTACTCAACCAACGATTCTTCACAAACAATAACTCAACAGCCTACGTACCACCAAGATACGGAATTCAGTTACGCATGCAGTTCAGATCCACGTCATAACCAGACGATCCATGACCACACCAACCGTATAATCAAAGACACATGCAACTGCAATCCGGCGAAAGATTCCGTTAATTGCTATTGTACCAACAATAATGTCTCACGAATAACACAATCGCAGAATACGTTTCCTTTGCCAATACCAGAAGGACTAGTATCCACACAAGGCCGCAACAACATACCTACCATTACTACACGAGCAGTATCCGTACAATTAATGATTACATTCAATCACACCATAAAAGAAATCACGCAAGAAATCCAAAATTTTCAGTGTAGCATACTACCCCAACGACTATTCGGATGTTATAACTGTGTCAAGGGTTCAGTAGCAACGCTCTTCTGTAAGTCAGATTCCATTCACGCAACTGCTCAAATCAGCTGCGGACTCCAACAATTTATTTTGACTTGTACAAAACAAGGAACGTATAATATTTGTATTAGAACGTAACGTAACGTAACGTATAATCTAATACACTTTTGTTCTTCAATAAAGCTCGCATCTAGGAAACATGTAGAGCACAATGTGGAAAACAGACATCGATTTTCGACACTCAACTACGTGAACGGATTCAACGCCATTATGGCACTATGTCCACTCATGGACAAGAAATACTTCCACTAGTACTTCCTTCAATATCGAATTTGCATTCCCCGACATATCACATTTTCCTCGATACCTGTAAGCAATTTCTCTTTTATACCTCTGCCTATACTACTCGTCCTTATCAGTGCCCTCATGACGAGCAACAGCATCTTCTGTTCGCAGCACTCCACTGCAAATAAGGACAAAATAACCTCCATTCCTCACATACTATCATACCTACCACCATTTCGTATTATATTTCTCGTAATACGCATTATTCGACGCATCTTCTCCTTTCACCATCTACATGCTACGCATACCGTTCCGTCTCCTGAGCAGAATCTTTCTACACTAACAATTCCATCACCCCGTTACCAACACACATCTCTACACATAAAGGCCGTCTCCACAAACAATTCTAATGTTCGCCTCACTTCGACACCATTGTTACACCTTCATCGACCTTCATAACCGGTCGTCAGCTCGTCAACCTCAAAGGACAGCTCCACACAACAGTCGATCCCTGTAAAGATCAACTATCACGATATGTTTCTTCTATCATTTATTTGATTTCATGTGCATATCTAGGTAGAATGTATTCCTTGTATCCCTTTCAATTTGTTTTCATTGAGCAAACTTTATCCCTAGTCATGTCTACTCCTGTGAACATGTGTTCTATTTTCTCCCATGCATTGCTGAACCTTGCACCCACATTTTTCCAAACCCATACTACCGATCATACGGACAATAATCTCTTTTCCATTCGCTGGCGGGGAGGATGCCAAAGGCAAAATGCGTAAGACGTGATCGTTCGTTGTCGTGCGGAGTGTCATGACCCTCGGTCATGATATCTTAGCACCTGTCATGACCCTCGGTCATGATATCTTAGCACCGTTGGTGCTGCGTTCTGCAATCGATCGACTCATGCAGTCCGTCCTGGGGGCGGGACTTGTACCGCCCACCGGGACCGGTTTAAGTGTACCGCCCCCTTTGGGCTCGATAAATACTACTGCAGAAAGGAGCTAGGCTCAGTTCTAGGCTTCGTCTTCCGCGAGCGGCGGGTCTTTCTCTTAAGCTCTCTCTCCTCTCTGACACAATACTACTTACAGTTAACCTCGCATGTCGAGGATACACTACAGGCCGGCGGACCCGCGGCGAACGGCTAATCGATCAACACTACGGTAACAAGCAAGTCAAACTACGCCACAGACGGCTCACATACTACGAGGTTCAGCACGCCTATGTTGTGTTCTCTTTACGATTACGTTTATGATATGTATGATGTAGTAATACTTGTGTAATAAAGATTAGAAGTTAGAACTGTTTGCCACATTCTTCCACTTTGAACCACCAAACCTCGTTGGACCGTGATGCAGTTTAAACAACCACCCACTGTGATCATAATCTTTTTTTCGTGAGGATTCGGCTTTGGAAATTGCCTCGGTGGTTCGTCGGCATCCAACCACTGTCCGGAACGTCTCCTGTTATCATACATGATCCACTTTTCATCACAGGTGACAATTCGGTCCAAAAACGGGTCGTTTCTGTTGCGCAAAAGCAGTGAAGAAGAAACCTCGAGACGTGCCAATTTCTGCCGGTCACTCAAATTGTGGGCACCCCATCTGCACCACCGTACATC